TGTTTCATTATGGCGCGTGAAATTCATCACGCGAAAAACGCGTTTGACTTGCAGCAGGGTAATTTGACGAAATTTTGCTATGTTTGTTAGCTAAAAACATTAACAAGGGAACAAAGTTTCCTGCGTTAATTTGGAAACCGTACATTTATTTGTAGATAACATTTAATGACGCGATTAACATTCGTTTGATGCCGATCATCGTAATATAGCCGCATAAAATAATTAAATGAAGCCTAAATGTAAACTTTCCGAACTTATTCAATAAACAGTGATATTATGTGTGAATTATTATCGCAATTCTGGGTCCTCCCAGTCACGAAATATACTGCTGCAGAGCCTCTGAATAAAAAGTATCATTTTTTGTGTTGTTTTTCGTAATATATATCACGTGACCGTTGCCATGACAACGAAAAGTAGGTAAACTTTTAGAATCTCCTTTGATAAATCATATAAAACTTGAATGGTAATAATCAAGGCCATACTTATTTTTTTATGATTTTTTGTTTATTTTCGCTAAATACACAAACTGAGACCCAGGCATTAATGTACCTGAGGAGCAAATGTGTTTGGCATTGGAGGAGATGTTGTAAAACTGTGTGAAACTCTTCCAAAAGATGTAGGACACAAGATATATGCTGATAATTTCTTCACCTCAGTTGAACTGATAGAGAAGTTGTCAGAAGACGGATTCCTTTACGCTGGGACAGTGAGAAAGAACCGTCTCGCAAAGTGCAATGTCTTGGAGGAAAATGCCCTGAGGAAGAAAGGACGAGGATCACATGATTTTAGAGTAGAATCAAAGACCAATACCGTGTGTGTTAGATGGCAGGATTCCAATGCGTTAACCCTCATGTCAAACTATGCAGGTCCTGAGCCTATGGACAAAGCCCGTCGCTGGGACAAGAGCAAGAAAGACTACATCAACGTTGACCGCCCATACATCATCAGAGAATACAATACACACATGGGTGGTGTGGATATGCTGGATGCACACATCTCCCGATGTAAGTATTCCATTCGAACGCGGAGATGGTACCTTATACTCTTCTGGCAATTTACCAGTATTGGCGTAATCAATGCATGGCTCCTGTACAAACGTGACTGTTCCCTACTGGGAATCACAGGCAAGAGTGTGATGAAGCTGTGCCAATTCCAGTCCAAGGTTGCACAAGCACTGATTGAGCGTGGAACCACCAGAAAGTCAGGTAGACCATCCCTTGATGAGGAAACATCGCCCAAACCACCTAAGATAATCCGTGTCGAGCCATGTGAAGATGCACGTTTCGACCAAATTGCACACTGGCCAGTAAAAAGAGACAAGCGTCGTCGCTGTGCAGTTTGCAAAACCATCAAAACTGATACGTGTTGTGAGAGATGTGATGTTCCTCTGTGTTTCAACGAGCGCAGAAATTGCTACAAACTGTATCATATAAAGTAGTAGTATAGTAACTTTGTATGTACTGTATGACAAGCTATTGAAGCTAGTATATATGTTTCACTAGTGCCTCCTTTCAATGCCTTAGACATTGGCATCATAACAGAAAAATATTCTTGTTCAAACTCTGACATTTATATAATCTAGGAGTGACAGTAAATATCAAAGAAAGACCCAGTGGGTCACATATGACCCGAGTCCTAAATTGGGGGCAAATTGACGAAAATCCCCAAAACATATTTTTATAGTTTATCTAGCCTGTTTTGTTAGTTTTTAGACTAACAAGAATTTTTTTCTAATGATAAAAATTGTCTTGGGTTCTCGAGGGTATTAAATTAACTGGCTGACCATTACAGTAGTCAAAAGTTAATAAATGAATACATGCAAAAATTACAAATTAACTGCCCTCATATCAATCCATTGGTCTCTGACTCATCCAATAAATACTTAACAGAATAGTACGATAATAATAGAAAAATGTGAAAATGCCAACGTTTCCTAACTTAGTGTGACAAGAAAGTTAGATTACATTAATTTTACAGTCAGGTATTATTTTCTTTATCGCCTCAATACTCTGGTTGATGATTCCAATGGCCCCCATAAAATTCCAATACCCCCCATAAATTTCCAATGGCCCCCATAAATTTCCAATGGCCCCCATAAATTTTACTGGAGAAAATGTTTCCCCCACCTCTTGCCATTAAATCTCCATAGCCCCCAATTTTACCCATCAAAAGGAGAGTCTTGCGTGGTCACACTACAGTAATGGGAATATGGGATTATCAAATATGGCATACTTTGTTATCTTTTTCTGTCCAACACCACACAATTTTACTTGTCAAGTGTAAGATTAAGTGAGTAATAAAAAGTGGCTGGATATTCTAACTTTTGCTCCATATAACTAGACTGTGGTTGTGAGAAAAATGTAAAAAGACAATTACCAGTAATACTGGCTTTACCACATCCCTATTATTTACCTTGCAACCTTGAGCCGTTGTGCTGTTACTAATACAGCAGAATGCGGTTTCAAATGACAGTTATTTTATGGCAATTATGATTTTCCAGTGTGCCAGTAAGACATTTGCCGTTTGGTTCTCTTTTAGTATTGTATCGAAAAGATGATTGCAGGTATTCAGATCCTGGAGTGATGTGAAATGGCCCTGACCTTGGGCAATTAAGTAATATATGAGTGGTGTAAAATAGGAAATTTTTTATTCATTCTGATTGACTAATAGTAAAATTAGAATGGTGAGAATAATGATGATTATGGTAGTGAAATAAAAGTTGTGATGATATTGGTGATGCATAAGTTGTAATGATACTGCTGATAATGAAAATATATTGTATTTGTACATACCAATTGTAATGAGACATAAATAATAAAGAGATTGGCAGTAATGAATGTGTATGACTTGATCAATTGTGCTGGTGAGAAGGCAATATATTGCCACCTAGATGAATTAAGTCCCATGCCATTTTGTGTTCAAAACTAACTGTTCCCATCAGCTCCAAGCATAACTGGGAAAGCTGGTTTCAATCCCGTTAGCTGATCTTGAAACTATGTGCACACATATAAATATTTATATTTTCCCCTCATGAATTATATTGTTTGCACAAAAAATCGGTTGATTATTTCATCTAGAAACAGTGTGAATGTTGTTTGAATTTGGTATGTTCACTCTGTGACAAGTGAAAGTGATATGTAATTCATGCATAATATGGTGATTTTTGGTTTCAGGATGTAAAAAATGAAATTTACTTACTGATAAAATTCAGTGTAACCATATATTCATTAAGCCTCTGTGTCTCTTATTAAAGCCTCTGTGTCTCTTATTAACTCCGCATAGCCGGATAGGACTGAATAGGTTTTTCATTTTACTGACGAAAGTATGATGCATCAAACCACCCAATTTTTTAGACCAGCTGTGAATAATACTTCAATTAAACCCAAAAGAATTTTATGGGAAAGAAGTAATACCATCATTATGGAAGTTATGTAGGCCGAAGTATTTAAAATGTTTAAGAATGTAATGGTTGGTTTTTAACCAAAGCCAAAGATATTTGAAAACAAAGTACGATATGTCAGTCAGAGTCTCGGTGCTCAACTATCGGTGTATTATTTGTAAAAAGTGTCGGTAGTCACAATGGTAACAACAACATTTGTGTGGTTAATCTGGTTGAAGCAGAGAATTTAATTGATCTCCTGGTAAAAGGCATGTTTTCTTGGGGTTGTAGCAAAGGTCTTTCATAAGCCTATAAGATGCAACTGACAAATGAAGTATTTCAGAAAAATATTTACCCTAAAATTATTAGTGACTTGTGCCATGACTAATATTATGTTACAGCTTTGGTTCAAATTTCATAAATCATGAACCGATGTACAGTAACTGCAAATGTAAACAAATAGGTGAACGCACACCCAGTATACAGACTGTTATTTGCCTTTAAGACTCCTAAGTCACATATCACTGATATAAGATTCATAGTAAATTTGTTGTTTCAAGATCACTGTATATTATTTCTCATGATTCAGGATTGGTACCCCCCCCCCTTCCAGACAAACAGAAATATAGATGATACATCCCAAAAAATAAATATGAAATTAACTCACACACACAAAGTCAAAGGTTTCAAGATACTGTGTATAATTTCATTCACAACTGTATTTTAAACTACATACATACGGAAACCAACCTGTCACTCGACCAGTTAATTGTTTCCACATATTCTGCTTTGATAACTACATGTTTAATACACATGAAGAATTTCGCTTCCATAGATGTCCCTTTTCCGCATGACACATCGATCAGCGCGACATCAGCGCGTTTCACCGCCCTATATATAAGCGCCCTGATAAAATCAATCGGTTCCGCTCCCCCCGGATTGAAAACTAAATTATTATGAAATGTCCAATATTTTTAGACACACGTGACCAGTGTTTACCAGGGCATTTGCTTCCCGTACCAGAGCCTCTGCTTCCCGTACCAGAGCCTCTGAACCGCGCAAAGGCCCTGGGTACGAGGTTGCTGCTGAAGCATTATGCATAGAAAACACATTAACTGATCAAATTGGTCTTGGCCGTCTTATATCTCAAAGCACGAAAAGTTCTGTTTTGAGAAAACAGTATTTAAAACATTTGAACTTTTGCTTGAATATCTTATATTTCGAAAAACAGTATAAACTGTACGGTCTAAATTTAGTTTGCACGGTCTAAATTTAGTTTGCACGAAAGTTGTAAACAACACCATATAAGGATAGACATTCCATATTTGGAAAAACGAACGTTACGGGGCAGATATTCAAATTCATTAGTCATCGATGCAGGCTCTCAATTCAGCTTGAGAGCCTGTTCGCAGGCTACATGTAAACAAAACATTTAATAGGCCCACATGCATACAGAGAGCCGGAATGCAAAAACTTGCAAATAATGTCTTTTTTTCACAGTCTTAGAGAAGAATAACAGAATTACAGAATATTCAGCCCAAATTAAATCGGGCTTTGTATCAGAATTTGAACCGCAACTCACTCAGAAATCGAGTAAAGTAAAATTGCGATGGGCTTAATAATACTGACCACTGTAAATAATACTGACCATTCCAATTTCCATTTGTTATTTGGCATGAAGAATATATTTCATCGCATGTCGCATGAAAAATTGTCAACCGGTGAGAGGCGAAAGGCCCGTAAAATTTACTGTAAATCACTGTATAAAGACTGAAAGTTCTCAAAATAGCCGGTGCGAGGCAAAAACTGCCGGTAGGATTTAAATCACTGTAGGAAAGTTCCGTGTACGTACGTACAACGAACGCAACGAACGCACCATAATCCATTGCGCTTGAGTTCGATGAGCCACCAAACTGTGGGACTCGCTCGGGCTCGCCCCAATTAAGCTAAATGACAATGCCGCACTTGTAATGAGTACCTTAAATTAAATTAAATAAATAGAATATTCTAAATTTGAACAAGGTGGCCTTAGATAAGCCTTACGGTGTCATAAGGTCCCTTTGCCTTTACTACTGCAGATTATTATGTGTAAACTTAATATTTGTGGCAAATAAATGTATCTTGTATCTTGTATGGCTGCAGCAAATGCCTAATGCGTAGTCGTCATATGACCATATGTTGCGCGATGTATAACGCACACCTCAGCAGCAGGACCAAACTTCCGCTTCACACATTATCCCATACACTTAATTTGGGTAATATATTAACCCATTATGTTGGGTTTCCTTCGCAATATGCTAATGGTAAATACCGCATACATGAAATGGCCTTTTGTCAAAAGTAAAGCGATGATATTTTAATTCCGTTTGTATTCACACAATAAAGCTGAATTTATTAAGTTAGATCTAAATAACTGGACTGATGTCACAAACGTACCCCCCCCATTTTTTCTCACTGGATTTGGACAAATTAGAAAATTGACCTTGAAGAGAACTGGGAGGGTGGACGCGTCCTCCCCAGTCCTCCCCGTGGCGCCGCCACTGACTTCATGAGAGAGATAACTAGACTGATCAGTGCCTGGAACTGTGACTCTGTGTATTTGCAAGACATAGCCCTGAAGTTAGTTATGATAATGCCGGCACTCCTGCTACAGAAACCCAGTTTCAAATCGAAGGCGAAGGAACATACCATCTGTCTGAAGAGACGTCTTCACCTTTGGGGGCTTGGGGATTTTGACGCGCTTCTTCATGAATGCAGAACAATTCAGTCGACGCTGTTAACGTCCAAGAAGACAATGTCAGAGCTACAGTTATCAAAGACATTTGCAAGACTCATGCTCCGTGGAAAGGTGAACGCAGTTCTTCGTCTGCTTGACCATCAATCTGCGGGAGGTGTACTACCTCTTTCAGACGTTATCTACGAAGACCTGAGAAGGAAACATCCATCAGCAAAACCTGGAGACAGCCCTGTGATGATAGAAGGCGAGATTCCTTTCATTGACCCAGCACTTTTAGCTGTAATGAATACAAATGGTGCCGCTGGTCCTTCGGGATTAGATGCCATTGGCTGGAGACACATCCTGGTGTCTCGGAACTATGGTAACGCATGAAAAGATCTCCGTTCGTCACTTGCCTCTATGTCAAAGAAACTTATGACTCAGAGAGTTGATATCCAAGCAAATCAGTCAGCTAGCATCGAAATGTATCTTTCCTGCCGTTTAATCCCACTTGACAAGAATCCTGGCGTACGCCCAGTTGGAATCGAGGAAGTCTTGCGACACATCATCGGCAAGTCAATCATATACACGATCAAGCCTCACATCATTAGGAGTACCTGAGATTAGCAACTGTGTGCTGGTCAGCAAGCAGGTTGTGAGGCCGCGATACACGCCATGTCGCAAATCTTTGATGAGGAAGAGACGGATGCCCTACTATTGGTCGATGCCACTGATGCGTTTAACTCCATCAATCGCAAAGTCATGCTGGACAACATCCAAAACATCTGTCCTGCCTTAGCCGTCTATACACAGAACTGCTATGCTACTCCATCGCGCTTGTTTGTACAAGGAGGAAAAGAAATTGCATCAGCTGAGGGAACAACTCAAGGCGACCCAATATCGATGCCTCTATACGCGTCTCAATTACTCCTCTACTGCAAATGATCAATGTGACCCACGAAGTAAGACACGTTGCCTTTGCAGACGACCTCAGTGGCGCTGGAAGACTTGTTCAGCTGCGTTCGTGGTGGGATAACATCGTCTCCCACGGTCCCTTTCTGGATTACTACACGCGAGCAGACAAGTCCTGCATGCTGACAGTCAAACCTGATCTCCACGAAATTTTCGCAAGAACATATGTGCGCATATCCACAGACGGCCACAAGTATCTTGGTGGCAGGGGCGCAATTAATGTGTGTGTGACACTCCCAAATGGGGTGTGACTCCCCCCCCCCCAAATATTTAAACATTCGGTCCTGATGGTTATTATAAAGTCGGTCCCAAACCAAGTCCAGAGCCCGATTTATGCGCGGTCCAAAGGGCGTAATGGGAGGCTCTGGTTAAATCACGGTAATTATAGTTCGACAAAACATCGCAAAACAACATTTACTATATTTTGAATGCGTGCTATTTTGTCGGACCAATCGCGAGCAGTTATAGCTGCAAACGAGGCATATGTGTACGGGAAGAAAAAATTAGGGGGCAGAAAAAAGTTTGTCCGACTTTTTCCCATTGTGTCCGACTTGTCAAAAAAAATTTCTGTGCAAACTTTTCGTCAGAAAGAAAGGATAAAGATATAGAGGGAGCACTTCAGCTGAGCAATCTTTCTGTCACTCGTGGATTGCTCGCTCATGCATAGTCAATTGTGACAGTGTGGGCGACTTGTGATGGCATAATTGCTGCTTTGGATAAAGAAGCGGAATCAGAAGATGCCAAGACAAGGGTTAAAGCTAAGAATCTACTTGAGGCTGACAAAAGTTTCGAATTCATCTTGGCCTTAGTAGAGACTTTTTTTATTCATTGGTTTACGGACCGCCGACCGTAAATATCCAGAAAGTGAAAAATAAAAAAAAAATTTGGATGTCAAAAATTTTACAATTTTAGTTAATTTTAATTAATTTGGGGTTCTGACATGAAGTACACTTCAAGTGAACTTTGACTCTAGGTACTGCTGGCTGATGTTATCTTTGTGACAATCAATATGTAGATTAGCCACGTTTTTTGCGTTTTTTTTAAATTGACGTTAAAAAATTTTATAAAGATTATTAATTTCGGTTCTCATTTATACTCAGTTAGTTCTTTTTTTAATTTTTTTCCAACCTACCGACCTCTTATTTTTAAAGTCAAATCCGTAAACCAATAAATAAAAAAAGTCTCGCCTTAAGGTGGCTCAATACACTTTTTAGCCAAAGGAGTAAAAGTTGAATATTTTCTGTTTAAATGCTTCTACAGGGTTAAGTTTTACTTATAATTGCAACACATAGTAAGACGTGTCGCAAACAAGAAGAATTCTGATAAAAGTCGCGTTTCCATGGCAACTATAACGAATAATGGTAACAATAAATAGCCGAAAACATCGCATTTTTCAAAAACGAGTTCGGTGATCCCAATTTTTCTTTTAATAAATCAGTTACGCGGTTAGTGTCGAGAAACATTTCTGGGAACTTTAAAAAAAATCTGTCGACTCAATTCTTTAGAATTAAATTTCGACTATTTTGACAGTTTCTGTCGACAATTTTTTTTTTATTTTTCCATCATGAAATCTTAAAGTATGTATCTACTCATTTACAAATTTTTAGGGTACCTTACCGAACTCGTTTTGGAAATAATCACGGCTTTATTTCGCGCAGCCAAAGTTTTTCATACTCTTCAAGATCAATGAATTGACATGCGCGTACATGTTTTCACAGGTGCATCTCCAGAAAAATACACGCAAAAAAGTTTTTAGTCTTGTCGAAATATCAAATATACCGGGTGGGGCAAAAAAAAGTACGACTGTTTGATTTACTATGACTCAAAAACTAAAAGAGCTATTACACAAAAATAAATCACCCTATATTCCGCGATGTTTAATTTAGATTTTGATATATGTCTGGTGCATTTTCATGCGATTATGACTGAGATAGACGATTTGTTCGCGATTATTGTTTCAATGAAGTGAAGTCGAAGTTATAGAAATATTTCTTCATTCACAGACTTTTTATTTTTTGTTTTACGATGTTGGGCAATGGATGTGAAATTATAAGGCCGATTTTATTGAAAGTTTTGTTCCTAGAAGGTATCCGATACCCGTGGGATAGGTAGTCTGTATGTTCTAATGAGTCTAGAACGAGCTGTCCCATTTCACGGGCAAGATGTTGCAATTGTGCCGGGGGACATGAATTTGCTGATGAATAGATGATTGCTTTTGAACAACAAGCGTTAACGTACTGACTTTAGAGTATAACGCGTCTTAACACAAGTTATTTTTGTATATAGAGGTATTAATATTTAATAGGCCGTTTTTAGCTTAAGAGCGACTGTCCGTAAAAATCGAGCAAAATTTGAATTCTGCGGCAATACACGAAAAATAGATTTCGTTCATATTTTGCTCAAATTAAGGTAATACCTAGTTATAAATGGTGTTTGGGTTAGATTTTCAATATTTGGTCGATAAACGTACAAATATCAGAAATCAAGAATTTGTCTCCAGGAGGCTATAATTAGCCGCAGACAAAGCCGCTGCCATGGTCAGTTTCATCACTTCGCGACGGATTCAAAACTGCCCATAGATAGTTTTGATGGTATAATGACTATAATTCAAGTATTAAAGAACAATTTTATCAATATGGAATGGCCCAGGAGGCTTTAGCTGGCCTGACAGACGTTGTTGAAATTGACTATTTTTAGTCAAATTTGAGAATTGCATTTTGTCACTGGATTTGAAG